AATGTAATGGGATCAAAGCTCATTGTAACTCTATAGAAAACAGATTTGCTTGGATTTTCGTAGTGCTCTAGTTTAGGACAATTCAGCACGATCAGAATACTCTGAACACATATGCACTACGTGCAGTAACCTCCAAAATCGCGCGCTCTCTTTTACGTTTGTCTAATAGCAAATGTTAATTTAAAGGATAAATTATGTTAATTTTATAATGGTAGTATAATTTACCGTCCTGAATGGAAATCATGGCTTTAATGCTAAACACTGAAATTATTTTCAAAGCTTCTCTGTAGATGCCTGCTATATTGTAGTTTTAAAATTCTTAGATGCTTTTTTTCCTCATTTCTGTTAGTTTAAAAACTTTAGGAAAAAAGGACAAATACTGATAACTATTTAACATATGACTAACCCTGGATATCCAATTAATGTAATTAACTCTGATTAAGCTCAAGTCTGCACTTTTGAGAAAAAGCTGAATAGAAACATGTCATCGCCGAGCTCAGTATTTTTTTGTTTTAAATGGAGTGGCAGGTGAGGAGTAGTTTTTACACTTGCAGAAAGTTTTCCTTTATTTTCTATAGATATTAGGCATTATTCCCTAAATTTTATTAAGTTTTCCAAATGTTTCTTATAGAACTTCTAGCAACATTAGACATTCCACGGAGCAAGCCATGGAATATAAAAAGCCACATATAACAGAATCAGTCAAATCTGCAACCTACCAGTCTAGTCAAATGGCCACAATTCATCCTGTAATAAAGGAGAAAGTTTGTAGAATGTGCATCATCATTTAAAAACATGAACTTACAGATCTATGCAGAGAACTGCTTCCATTACAGAGCATTCACTAAGCATAGTGATAAAATCATGATAAAAATAAATCCAAGGGCACTATTTAGCAAACAAACATCAACTTATTTAGGAAAACAGACCGTAGATAAACATTAACCAAAAAAGTGTTCAACAAGAGCACAATTAATTTGGAAAATAACAACCAAAAATCAAATAAAACTGACCAGTCCCCGTAAAGGGTACATAAATCATTCATGGAAGAAAAAATCTAAAAGGCCTCCCGGCAACAAAGGCATGAATATATTTAGTGTTGTTAAAATACAAATTTGATGTCCATCTCTGTGAACTTTTGCTGGCAATTTTAAAAGGATTAATTTGACCACAGCGTTTCACTTCAAAGTTTTTTTATCAATTATCCTTCTATACTCTCCAAGGCACTGGGAAAGCAACCTGTCTTTAGAGCGGATGGGTATGGTCCGTTTTCTAAGATACTTATGTGGGAGTGGAGCGGGGAAGGAGGAAATCAGTGAATTTCAGTCATTCTTACCATCTCTTACTGTGTAAATATTTTGACCTGATCAGTAATGTCAAGGGAAGCATGCAGAGCCACAGGAAATAGCTTACATAAATGAACTTTTTAAGCACTGCCCTCCATCCAAGTGATTAGATTCTGAAAAAACTGTGAACTCCAGGAAGGCTAAAGACTACCCATCAATACATCCAGTTTTACATTGCAATATATATACTTTAAAAATTTATCTTAGCCTTCTCTGCAGGATTAACGATTGTGGGTACTAAAGCAGGCAACAAACGTCAACATTAAATAGATTTTGTTTGGTATTCTGTAGGACAGCCATAATAATTTATTTTCTATACATATTGTTATTGGAACAAAAGTGACTTTTAAATGAAGAAATAAAACTTCTAGAAGTTACTATTAGATTTGTAGTTTTCTTTTTTAACGTGAAGCTGCTAGAACAAAGTATCCAGGTAGAAAGAAAAGAATAGGAGAAAAGAACATACACTAACAGAATTTAATTTAATTATGTCCCCAAACTGAACACATATGCTAGAGAAGAGTTAATGAGATATATATATCGCCTGATGGCTCCCTGAGGAGCAATTTGCCAATACAGCTCCATTACATCAGACATAATAAAAATGTCTATGTTGACCAGTAAAAGCCAGGTCTGGTTCTCTTCAAACTCCATCACTCTGGTGGTATGTGAATCATTCTTCCTTTTCCCTCAATACCAGCAAAGCTACTTCTTTAGTAACTATTTACATTCAATGTCAGGAAAGAAACTTTCATGAAAAATCATGACTTTTAAGATAATAAATTATCATTGTTAGCTGCTAAACAGACAAAGGCATCTGGCACTAGCTACTGTACATGCCTTTGTTTCTTTAAGAGCTGAGTCATAAACTAGGTAAAGGAACCCTTAATTTTATGAAAAAATAAACCTACCTGCATTAAAATTTCAAACAAAGTCCACAAGCCTGTTTAATATTAAACACTGATTAAAAAATTACTGGTTTTCAGCTAGCAGGAGTTGGAACCATACTTACAGTAAATTATGTTACATAATAACTAGCAAGAAAAACAGTAAAGCCCTGGGGATCCGAAACAAAAGCTATACCCAACAAACCAGCACACATGACAGCAGAAAAAGAAATCTAGTCGTTTTCTTCCTCTTCCGCTGAACCAGTCTTTTGCCACATTTAAGCATAAATCTATATTGAGTGCAAAATGCAATTTAGATTGTTGGCCTCACCCACGCAAGGGCGGATTTATTTCCCTTTACCACTTGCTGGTACAGCTCAGTGATCCCAGCACTCGAAAAGGGGATGGAAAGTGGTTGTGGAAGAAGAGGGCATGGTTTAAAGTGCTGTTTTGAGAAGAAAATACTAATGGCTAGTCTGATGGTTTAAACCAATATATGTTATATATATAGTCCAACACACATGTAATTATATAAATTGCTTTATACAAATATATCTTAGATGGCTTCATCAAGTGAAATATGGTATAGGTATATAAACACTTCTACAACAGCGTATTTATATAGGGAGATGGAAAGGCAACAGTCAGGGTAGATTACTGCTTTAATTACATTTTAAGTGGAGTTAAGTGGTGTATTAAAATGGAGAAAAATCTTCCTATCCACCTTGCCTAGGAACGAAAGCTCTGATTCAACCCTAAAGGACCCTTCTAAGGGAAGCACCAAGTCTATGGGCAGATACGTGCACCAAGCTGGGAAAGATAATGATAAAATCCCACACTCAGTGCCTAAAATTAACTCAGCCAGACGAATGCCATGAAAAGATGTCCCTCCCCACTGGTGGTGTAGCCACTTAACACCCGTCTGAGTGTCCCACCTTCTACCATCTGAGGCATAACTGCATCGTCTTCATGGCTGTATGCATAGAGACAATCTGTCCATTTTCTTCTGCAGAGAGAAAGAGTACCCAATTTTGAACAAAACAAGGCAGACAAATTGGACAGGAAGATGTATCTTCTTTTAAAAGAATAATTTCAACGATGAAAAACATCAGATGATGGAAAATGCAATCTGCTCTCCAGCCTTATACCAAAGAGACAGAAAATACCTCCTTTACCTCGTTATCTTTTACATGTACTTCCATATCTTTGTTACCTACGTGAGTAGTGTACCCCTGTCTTTTGCACAAGTTCACACCTCAGGCTCCAACTTACTACCTTCACTCTTCTAGCTTTCTAGAGTGTTTCTAATGCACAGGTAATAAAAATCTCCTTAACATAAAAATCTTAAATATGTAGATCTCAAAACAAATGTTTTAAAAATCAGAAAATTAATACTTTCCAAAAGATTGCATGTGAGCACTTTTGTTTTCCTTCAAGATAATCATCATCAAATTGTACTCACACAGGTTAAGTAGCAATAGGAAGTTTTCAAAGCAAGAGGAAAAGGCACAGAAAACAGAAGTAATCCCTACTTCAGATTTCATGCCTAGCTTACACTTACTTCTGTCAGCGAAGATCAGCAAAACCGAAATCAGTACAGAAAGTGAAATATGAAGACTCAGAGATTTTATCCTGCATGCCTCTTCTCATATAATTTTTAAAGGCTCTTCTTCACGAATATAAAAATACTTGAAACACATAGTTCAAGTTCATGGTAAGGAGAACCATGCTCTCCTGAAGATGCCTGAAACACCACAGCAAATGCTGTCTTCTCAATCCGAGCAAAAGAGCAACAAACACAACAAGTAAAAACATAGAGAATGGGACAATAAAAGTCCCAAACCAACAAGGTTCAGCACAACATGACTCTGAACAAAAATCTGCAGAAGCACAGGAAATCCACAGATGATCAGGTCAATCTGTGCTCTGGGCTAACTTGCTTAGAATACTATGAAGGTAGATGAAACCTCCTGAAATTAATTTTCATTGGAGACCAAGCTGAAAAAACCCCTAAGCCAACAACAACAAACTGGGAGTAAAACTTCAAGTAAGGGGGGGAAAAAAAAAAAAAATAAATTCAACCCCCAAACCAATGCTATCTCCTTTACGAGGTTTTCTCCCCTCACAACAGTTAAGATAGAGATGCTCAGATGAGAGGGTTAAAGTATGCCTTTAGCTGAAAAACCTGTCCTGTCTAGCCATCAGAAGGAGAAGCACGGATGTTTTCTTAGCTTCGCTACTACTACTGCTTTATCCTTACCATTTCTAAGGCCTGGCAATTGAATTTTGGATCTCCTTGTGAGCTGTGTTTGTCAACTCTTAGTATTTTTTTAAGAAAAAAAAGCTAAATAATGAAAGCACAAGACACTGATCGTCTACCTCCTTTTTAAAATAGGTTATTGTTATACACTCCTTGCTTTTCATGGTTCCTAACCGCGTTTTATGATTGCCTTACAAGAGACTCTTGTAAACTCTTTGTGTTTTTAAGGATAAAAACTAAAAAAAAAACGCACAGAAAAATGTCCTGAAAGGCAAAATACTATAAAAAAATGTATCCAACCCAAAATATATTTAGAAGTAGAGCTAAGCAGAGCAAGAAGGCAATATTTTAGTCAGATGCACCCAAGTAGAAAGGTGCTGGAAGTCATGACTAATTTTTGCTGATAAAAATACCCGCAGGTACATGTATATCCTCAGGAATATTTACTGTATTATCAATATGTTTGTACAATTCCACATCGGTTCTTTCCCAAGAGTTGTTACTTACCCCAGTTTTATCGCATAGACGCAAAGTATGAAAAGACCCCACAGCAAATAATTCCCCATCCACAGCCCAGGCAACAGACGTTATAGGATATTCATGGGGCTGTGAGCTGTACAGTAGACGTCCATAACTGTCCCAAACCTTTAAAAAAATTAAATATGTATCTATATAAACATAGTTGAGGCATACCTTTATTAATTCTAGAGCTATCATTTTCCCTCACGATCATGGAAGTTGCAGAAAGTTATTTCAGTGCTTTTTGTGCAACTAGAAAAATCACATATAGTTCATTTTCCATTAAAGGTTATTCCTAATCAATATTGGTTTATAGACTTTGCTGCTATGGCAAACATTACATTATTCTGTATAAAATATTTTTGAACGAATGATTTTTGGTCCCTGCAAATTACCGTGAGTCTGTAAAATAACCACAAGGTTTATTCCATTTGTACTCGTTTCCCAATAATGCGAGGCACCTCTGCAAATTTCCAGACCGAAGAGATTTTTTCTCCCCGACTGAAGCCAACAGAATACCAGGAAGCCAGTTCAGAGTGTGAAGTAATTTGATTTTAACACTTGGATATTTTTTTTTTTTTTAATTTCTTAATTGTGTACATTTTTATCACAGCCATTATATGCTTAAGAGAATGACAGAACCCAACAGGATACAGTTAAAAATAAATTCCCACTTAAGGGAAGAAGCACAGTATGTGCTCTGTGTTTTGGATATTGTATATAGTAAACAAAAAATTTCTTAAGGGATTCACTAAAGCTCCTGTAACAGAAAACAGCAGCGTTATCTCCGCTAATTCTATATGTCATTACCTTTTTCAGTATATGTCATAGCTTATACTATTTCAAATAATCATTTCTATATTTCTACAGATTTTCCTTCTGGAGTTTCTTTCACTTGCATTTTACCTATTATTATTCTGTCGTATATAAAAAAAAAATTGATTCTAATATTATGCTACTAGACAGAACAAGATGTATTTATACAACTTAGGGTAATACGTTTTTCTTGAAAGCTGAATAATACAACTTAGGGTAACACGTTTTTATTGAAAGCTGAAAGGCTTCCCATTTAATTTTGAGCTTCCAAGTATTATTAAAAATTAGAAAACATCAGAAAGCCTACTATCTTTTTTGGACACTTAGTTTTCCCTAAAAAGCTAATCAGTACTCACTTTATATTTACAATCTTCACCTGCAGAAAGAATAAGATCGTTCACTGAGTTCCAGTCAGTTTTTAAAATAAGTCCATCGTGGGCTTTCCACTAAAATAGAAAAAAAAAAGAAATTAAACAGAGATGCAACAAGTCTGACAACTTCTGGTTTTAATATTTATCATTCACCATTTACTAGAATTCAGACACTCAATACAGCTCAAGGTTTCCAACAGTACAATTGCACAGACATCTCTTCTGCAGAAAAAAAAAATTAAATGCAGCTTGAACAAGGTGAATGAAAGCATAACAATCTGCACTAAAAGCCTGTTCTGAACGATTGCTTCTGTATCCTTCTGCCTTTTTTGTAAGAAAGGAAAAGGGAAAAGTTTCTGTATCTTTTTGCTTTTTATTTACGAACAGGGAAATGCTTAGTCATGTGCCTGAAGAATATTCACAGCAGAAACTGTCAAAAATTTTTTTTTTTAGTTTAGAGAAATGAACAATCTCCTTATTCTCAAATAAAAAAAAAAAAAAAGAAAAATGGGCAGGAGCAGGGGAGGCAGGGAGGGAGAAATGAGTAGCAGGTATGTTCCATGGAAAAATTTAACACAAACATTTTATGTTTGACAAAACTCTAATTAACTGCAAAAAGTTTTCACATGGAAGCGTGAGACAATCTTAATGTGTGTAATGATACCTGCACAACTTTAGCATTTGGCTGAAGAGGTTTAATAATCAGCTGCTTCCCTGAAGTATAGAGAACTTTTTCAGAATCAGGTCCCCAGGCTACCGAGTAGACTGGTGTTCCTGTAGACAGTAAGAAAGAGAGAGAACATTCCTTATGATTATCTGATCTAATTTTGCAGAAACTGATACAGCTGCTTCAAACTGATTACTCAAAATCACCCATCAGAAATTCAGGAGAGGGAGAAAGCCAGACTAGGGGCGACCGTTTGTCCTCCACACTTGTCTGGCTGTACCTGTGGCCATGCTTACTGGTTCACTTCGTGTTTTAGCCACAGGAACACCAGTTAAGAGACAGATGCCATCCACAGGACAACTGTGAAGACTTCAGCTGATGCTGCGTACCCTTCCAACACTCCTCAAGGAAATACAAACACACAGGGTGAAGTCCTGGCACATTCACTCGAGCAAACCGTCAAACACCTACCCCTTTCAGTGGGGCCACTCTAAATTTAACTCTGAACAACTCAACCCTGTGCAAAACAAATAATGAACTGATGGCTTGTCCAACAGTACATCTGGGTTACTGAAAATGTGTGGGACTACTACTGCTATAGGTATCTCCTTTTCTCATGTTGTACCTATCCATTTTTTCAAAGCATCACTTAAGACCTACCCATTTTATTGCAAGGTCTGTCCCAGACGACTTCAATGGTATATACCACTTGCTTCTTCATGCTCTCTATAAAACCCTCTCTGGAAGAATTCAGATCACCATTTATTCTTCTATTACAAGCTTTCTTCTTTAGTCAAATCATCTTCATAACTAGACAATTTTGTTTCTTCAGCTTCACTGACTCAAGCATATGCTCCCAATTGTTTTTGTTTCCCCACTCTTAAAATAAAAATCTGACCAATTTATTCCGAGATACAGCTGAGCAAAACAAGATGACACTGTCCTTCTCACTTCTGGGTCACCTTTCATCTTTAAGGTGCTTCTCTCACACCTTGATGTGCTGATGCCCTGGCCCATGGTTAACCAGGACACTGCAAAGATTTGTGTTGTCCTTTCTATTTGTACAGTTTTCTCCATTATATCAAAGTTCTTCATGGTTAGTTTACTTTTAAGGTCTATCTGCATTGTGGCATCTTTCATTCAGTATTAAATTGTGAGCTCTTCCCATCCGATTAGTTCACAAAGTCAGCCTTTGATGCCCAGTTGTCAGATCTTCAGATCCGATTTCTTGTTATATGTTTAGTTTCTAGACACTTTCTGCAAATACCTACAAAACCATTTCATGTTTACCTTGAAATCCCTGCAAACATTGTTCGCCAGAATACCTACAGTATGATTAAATCCAGTGCTGAGGCCACTAAGTGTGATGCTGACCAATACCCAATTTAAAACCAACAAATATTTGTATCAAAAGTAAGCCCAGCAAGTCAGGGTCCACCATGTCACCACCTGTCCACTTTTAACACTCTGGTTTTAATATTGCACCTTTCTCAAACCTCATTATCTATTGCCACTTACCATGCCATTAATTTGTATAAATTTTTGTCAGTGAACAGTTTTACACAACTCCAGAAAACAAACAGTAATAGCTGCATTTGATATTTACTTAATCTTTTATGCTCTGATGGAATTTTATTCACAGTTGTCACTTAAGAAATACAGCAAATCAACATGGCAACAGTCATCCTAATACTCATCAACAGACATCAGAAAATAGCTCTTTTTACCTACAAAGGTGAGACTGAACACAAATATGGGTAGGAAATGCTTTTTATTGCACCTACATTATTCTTTGTGAAATGTTTAGTCTCCATAATTAAGCCTCTAAGACACATAATTTTGGTTTGCTATACATATAAAAACCCAAACATCCCCCACACAAGCAACTCACAAAACACATGAGAACAAATAAAACAAAAAAGAGTGGTCCATAGACTTCACAGATTTTCCCCAATTAATTTAAAACATTTATTTTTTTTTTCAGATTGAAAACTCCAGAATGATATATCTAGAATAAGGCTGACTGTTTCGTTTTAAAACCATGTTATGTTGCAGTTTTCAAATGACCTTTTTTTGAAAACAGAAGAAAGTAAAAAATTACATGGGAAACGCATCCAGGAAAAAAAAAAAAAAAATTAAAATCAGACTTGCCAACTATGCAAATATTTTCCATAGTACTTGACAGGATTAGTCTCCCCTGAAGAAGAATAATCATTGATTCCTTGCAAATAAAACTAAGGAAGTTAAGTAAAGAGCATGTCCAAACATTTATTTCTATCGCAGCAAAAGCCCTGTAGCAATGGACAGCAAGTTTCAGCACAGCCTCAACATTACAGTTCATATAAAACTGCAAGGAGGGAGACTGTGTAATAAGACCCTTTCAGACCGTTCTCTTTACTTGGTGTAAAACTTGCTTCCACACCTTCTGAAATGGGAAAGAAAAGGCTTATTTCAGGCATCTGGTTTTCTCCAACAGGCTTAATGTTGTCACTGGTAGAAACGAGGCCTCTGAAGACACAATTCAACTGTCTGAACACAAGCACCTGAGCAATGTGATGCACCTCAGGTACTCGAAGACAGGCAGGTGGAGCTTACAGACAGAGGACCTGAGGGAGATCCATCTCCTTTCAGAACAGATTGAGAGGTGAAGGCAGAACAGCCCAATGAACTTCAAATGGCACACTTACATTAACACAACTGAATTGTATCCCCAAAGATCTGCTTGAGAAATAAAAAAGTAAAACCTCAGAAACACCAACTGTTACAACCTAGATGTTGGTATTAGACAATTTCATCCTTTTAGAAAAGGAAAACGGAAAGAAATTCTTCTTAGGGAGTCATGCATATTTCAGCTGATAACCAAGTATTGATCAAATGAATTAAAATTGAGCAAATAAACAATTTTTCTGTACATCTGTTACTTATGGTAATATAAAACCACCAAAAGGCTTAAGAAATGCTCTTACAGGGTAAAATTTTCAGACACTTTTGGCATATTAAGTCCCATTTCAAAAAAATGACCCAGGAATATCTTTTTCTAGGAATATTTTGATGAGGTTTAGATACTTAAGCAACCGAACTGCTACTTCAACTGTCCTAAGATCATCTAATATCTTACCACTTTAAGCATTCAGATTTTCTCTCTGAACAAAAACCTGAAACATGAATTCAGCACACTCCATTTGAGTTTCCAAACTGAGACCTGGTGTCACTGCTTCTGAATATTTTTGTACTTTGTATATTTTCTTCTCTGAAGGCATTTATTTTATGTTACTCAGAAATACAGAATGATGTGATTTTTTTTTTTTTTTTTTTTAAACTCATCAACCATTACAGGAGACAACTCACAGAAACATGCAACATGTATTAAGTAAATCTGGCACTAGCTGTTTTCCTCCTGGCAGCAATTTATGTTGAAAATGACATAAATTCTGTCACCAGCTGTACAGAAATTCTAAATAAACTAATTTTTGTCCTGCTCTAATGCTGATTTAACAATCAGAAGACTTTTATATTTAAACCAAATGTTTAACTTTTTTATGATGGCTGACTACTTAACCACAATTTCCAGGGCTTAACAGCAGGAGCTAAGTTAACTCATTTCCTTCTGCACTTAACAAGAACTTGGTTGGGAAAAGACTGCCAACACATTGCATTGCTGTGGAAAGAAAAATTCAGCAGAACAGACAAACTGCAGTGAATTGCATTGGTGATCAACAGCTTCAGGAAAAAATTCTCTCTGAGAAAAGAAGTGAGAAAAAACGGAAAAGGTGGGCTGAGAGAAGATTTGAGGAAGGAACATCAGCGGTAAGCACCCAGGGTGGGCTTTTCGCATCTTGGTGCTCTACTAGCAGATGTTAATCCCCAACGAAGCATTCCCGTGGCCAATGCGTACAGCAGAGAAAGAGCCAGGGCTGAGTGCAGGAGCGATAGAGCAGCCACTGACACGGCCACAGCAGATAATTCAGTAATTACAACAGCAAGTCTGTGTGAGACTTTTTACTTTCACAGGAGTAGAAACGTTAATTCAGACAATTTTATGTCTCTCTGTGACAGCACAAAAAATAGGAGCTGCAGTTGGAATAGGGTTGTCCCTTAAGTTGCACTTCTCAATAAACATGTTGTAATTAACCTGTTTGCATTGCAACTGCTGTGATTTTGCTTCCATTAACCAAAAAGGGAACCTACACGTCAATTATTCATATTGCTCCTTGGTGCTTACTCAGAGTATTAGCCACTGGAAGCCCATCAGAAAGTCAGCTGGGCCAAGAGATAAAGTACTCAAGAAAGATACAATCTTAAGAGTACTAAATTCAATTTGCAAGAAAGGTGTTACAAATCACCTGAAAAATTAGAAATCCATCTGAGGTAAACTGTCAGAGGCACAACAGATCTGTGGGCAATGATGTTTAAATTATAATTCTGTCGTATTCTTTTATGTACATGTGTTTTCATAAAGGTTATGGTGATGTCCTTCATCAAATGCTTTGAAAGAAAGTAAATTTTCATAGCACAAGAAATAAAGTCATCCCATGGATTTGAAACATGACTTTCCCACAAGGAATCACTCTAGTCTTGACTGGAATTAGGGACGCCAGAACAATTACCAGGATGGAAGCAGGTACTCTAGCAATGAAATACTCATGGTGGATCCATCAAACTTCCTTACTTGCCCTGAAGGTTCTCAGATCTTGGAGTAGGAGTGAAGTTATCAGCAAAGCCGTCAGCTTCACTGGTGGGACAGACTAAAGAAATGGTGCTGCAGAATAATCTGGACTGCAGTGACGAAGGCAAACCTGCATTCTACTTAATTTTCAGCTTGACCTTTGACTCTGTAGAGGACTGAGGGTTAGAGAGCCAGTGGTTTATGAGCCTCAGGAGTAGCAGTTCTAGACAGACATTTCAAGAGAGGCGACACAACTGTGGACTCAGCACTGCTCCTCCTAGCCAGATGTTTGGCCTGTGAAGGATTCGGTTAGCGCAGGTGGCACTGCTGACACTACAGACATCACCTCAAACAAGCTTAGTGTCAGAGTCTACAAACCACTGCAAAAATTTGTGCTGGTAGAGCCACCTTTTCTTTCACATGTGGACCTTTATACATCCTCCTCTTCAGAATTCTGTGGCTCTCTCGAAAGGAACACAGACACTTTGAGCAGTGTCACACTGCAGTGTGTACACCACTGAACGCAAAGAGAAATCTTACTTTAACCATAAACCTGTGGGTTACCAACACATACCAAAGAGATCCATGAAAAATAATCAAAACATATCAGTGCATCCTGTCAGCTGGAAGCCCGAAGGATTGCAAATACAGCATTTTTAAAAGAAGCTTTCGGTTTAAGATAAAAAGGGAACAAAAAGATGAATACAAACATAATCTAAGAAGCGAGATCAGGCTCAAAGAACAACGCAGCCATAACAGCAACACTACAGCTAGAGGCTGAATGTTGTAGAGGTTATGAGGTCACACTATCATTTATTCCATTCATCAGCATGATGGCAGGACATGCGGCCAGAGCGTTCCATATAAGTACTGAAAAAGCTAAAAAAGGGAAAAATGTATGTTCATGTTTTTGTAGTGAACAACAATCCAAAGATAGAATAGGCATGTGGACCATCATCCAAAGATAAGCGCTTGAAAATTTATTTCTAATACAAAGAGTGGAATGAGTAGAAAGAATGTTAGCAATGGGAATCCTTTCATTTCTCAAGGAGATGATAAAGGAAGTGAAAAAATAGCTCAAACATGATATACCTCTCAAACAACATTACAATTTCTGCAGAATCCTACCCTAATCCCAGGTATGTTAGTAGATTACAGAGGGGTCTGTGGGAATCTGATCCTGTAAATTTAAAGTATTTCTGAGACTCACAGGCTCTTCTCTTAAAACACAAATAAAAGATGACAATTATTCCATGGGGACTCAACTGTACTTTTATATTGTACCAGAAACTCTAAGAAATCAATGAAAACTTAGCCTGCATATTTCAAACTTGAACACATCTCTTACTTTATAAGCTTCATCAAACCTTAAATAAGCAACAATTAAGCATAAAAAACCTCAAAACATTTCAACTGAGAAATACTGGAGTGTGTGTTTCAACTTTTTTTTTTTTTTTTTTTCAAAAATTCTAGTTCAGTTGGCTTATCTTTCTACATTGTAAGCATGAAAAAAACATTACATCTGAATATGAACTTCCTTAACAGAATTGAAATACATTTTACATTCACTCCTGTGGTTAAAATGCCTTCAACAGGTTGAAAGAATTCAGATAATTTGTTTTAGAAAGAGATAAGGGTCTGACATTTAACCCAAACCCAGGTGCATGTGGTTTCTTGAAAAATGTCAAAAGGTCACATGATCTCAGTGTATGAAGTCTGAAAAACAAAATCTAGCTCAGTATCTTCACTAAAATATTACCAAAATGTTAGAAATTATGATTATAAAAAATTTCTTCAAGCATTTAAAAATATCAAACACCATTTGTATAAACATGTATTTACAGCTTATACTGTTGCACTTTACAATAATGTGATGTTAAATTGGCATAAATAACTGGAGTGCTCTAGGATGTATAAAACTGTAGTTACAAAGCCAAGATCAAGGTTTGGTCTCCATGGCCCCAGTTCAAGAAAGAACTTAAACACAGGGATTGTATCACTTCAGCGGGGCTGTCTGCATATACTAAATTAGTTACTGCGTTAAATAGATAAATGAACCAAGGACTGTCAAGAGTTTTAAAGTTCAGAGGAACTAACCTACACGCACTTTGCATCTTTCAAGCATTCTGCAATGCTTTTAGAGATTTTTTTTTTTTTCAGTTTCACCATAAGAGTCTGTGGCTTGGTATTAAAAACTGGATTTTTTTAATTTTTAGTTCTTTAGCCCCTCCAGAATTTTTTTTTTTTTAAAGATAATCACCTTATTAAAAATCCAGTTCCCCCTGTATTCAACTGTGATTTACATTTTGTTTTATTTAAGTTTATCTAGGCCTTAAGATCCTTAGACAAACCATTATTGCCAGATTTAGGGCCTGTTATTTAAATATATTTCATAATATCCCAAATTAAAAAGGTTTAATGGAACTCTTAAGAAAATTAACTTACCTTGTTGAGCTAAAGTGGATCTCAGCATTCCACTTTTAGACCAGATTTTCACTTGGCCATCTTCACCAACTGTAAATTTATCACAGAAATCATCAACTTAAATGGAATAATAAGTCTAACAAACATGGCATTTGTATTTACCTAGGAAACACTAGAGTTAAAGTCAGTCCAGGTCTTCTTACAGGTAAATATTGTTTATGAAGTCTTCCTAACATGGAAATAGTATATTAAGGAAAAATATTTAAGGCTGTTGTTCTGCTATTATCAACAAGTCTCTTCCTGAAAATCCCTATAGTCTTCTTATCTGAAGCTGCTCCTGGGAAGAGCAAGTCCACCACTATTTAAGCACCCAAGTTTTGTCTTTTCTATTCAGCTTTGCTAGTGCTTTTCGTCTATTTACAGTTCAATAGCCCAGAGGCTGATTAAATGAGTCTCTGAGGAGTCCAAGAGGAGCAGGAGCAGATTTTATGTATTAAACTGGAGGCTTCACAGTTGATAAACGGTGAAACTGGAGATAACTGAAGGCTCCATTTGGAGGCTTAAATTTTATAACATAACTGTGCGTTACCAAGAAACTCAGTTTACTTATTAAAGATTAAGTTCTTATACACTATACAGCGTAGTTATGTATGCATTAAGAACACAGATTTCCTAGCATGCTATCATATTTAAAATATACAGCTCTGGGCCTTCATTTAGGCCTCCCAGATTCAATTAATGAGGAAAAAACGCACCTAGATGCTTAACACCATTCTTCCGTTCAAAGGTAATTTACTTCCCAGATTTCAGGTTTTTGTATCTGGCCAATATAGCCTCGAAGTGTTTAAAAAGTGAAAAAAACAAAATAAAATTTAGACATACTATTTGTGCACATTTGATCCTGTTAAAGCAGAGCCATAGAGAAAATTTTAACTGATACAGGATCATCAATGATTCAACTCTTCCTCACAGTATAGTTGCTGTCTAAGGGTAGTTGATCTCAGAGCACACTGTCTGGACATGGCAATGAATTCCCATACTCCCCAAAAGTGTCATGCAGTCTTTCCAAAAAGAAAAAAAATGAAAAAAAAATTGAAAAGGCAATTTTGACTTTTTCCTTTGGAAAAGTTCCTGAGGCAAATCTCTCTTTAAAAAGAACAGTATTTCTATCCCTCTGGGATTTCAGAGGAACATGCCAGAGTTCCTTGAAGCAGCATTTTAGAGTCAGACTGAGTCTGGAAACAAGCAAATCCAAAATTATCTTCAGTACTTCTGGACTGAGTTGGAATTTGTCCAAGGAAATCAGCTGTGCTAGATCAACAGGAGGCTGCAGAAAATTCTGACACCAACAGAAATCCCATAAAGGAGAAGTTCATCACAGGAAATTTAATTAGCTTCCCCTTAACATCGAGATAGAGGGTTTTGACAAAAATGCAAAAAGCAACTAATTACCAAAAGGTTTAGGACAAGAAGACATGCAGAGGCACAAACATTGGGAGCTCACTCTCCCAGCCTCAATAGAGGAGAGGGTTAGCCTGCAGCTGGATCTACACCACTCCTAATAATTAAGGAAGAGAAACAGAGGAATATTCAAGATGCTCATGAAGCCTCAAGTAAACTTCACTGGCTAAAACCCCCAAATGTCATGTGCAGGGATGTAAATGTACCAACTTAGGAATCTTTTTTTGGTAAAAGAGAAAAAAAAAATAAAATCAAATATTCTCCTTTATGAAGTACAGAACATCCACAAAAACATGCAAGCACTCTGATATTAAAAGCACTTATTTTCAAGTAAATAGTGTAACATCTAATAAATAGGATCACTAAAAAAGATGGGTTTACTAGATCTTCTATTAATTAAAATAGGTATTTTTCTAAAACAGCATTAATCAAATAGTGCAAAATTAACTTCTATTTAAACACTGTGACAATAACCCCAGTGATAATGAAGACATTAAAAAGTAGCTTATGATAGCTAACTTCATTTATATTGTTGATTTTGTGTCTCTATTTCTCCTCCTCCTCACAAGAATTTCAAGCTAGACCAGTGTGTGAACCTTAACAGACTCAGTTTTATTCATTCCAATTCAATGTAACTACAAGATAAACTACGAAATTTGGGATCACATCTTTTAAATATTTGTCAAGGATTAAATTATTTTTCCAAAACATTCTAGTGTCTTTATCCCATAAAGTACTTACACTGTACACATTTTTTTGACAGCACTTTTCATAAATTTTGTTTAATACCGTATTTTCGTACCCCGACATTTATCCATGACATGCTAACTTTGTATATTAAAAAACCAAAACGCTTCCTTTTGAAAGAGCTCTTCTGTTATTTTAGGTTTTAAAACACTTCACTACCTTAAGAACGCTTACCCGTAACCAGTGCTGTTCCTTCGTAATTCCACCTTCCCGCAAGTACAGCTCCACAGTGTGCTTCTACGCTTTTCTCTACTCTTCCTAACTTTGAAATCAAGTGGAACTTCCCTAAACGAAAGTTCAAGATAGAAATAGTGTATGTAATTTTGTGAACCGGTATTTACGACTGTAACTGGATTGTCTTCTGTTAAAAATACACACACAAAACATGATGAAGAAACAAACAACAACAAAAAAAACGAACAAAACATGCAATTATGTTGTTCGCAACTGTGATTAGCCCAGACAATTGAGTTCTTGCAGAATATGTAAACTAGTTACAATGGTGGGTTCATGGTTTGTTGGGTTTTTTTTTTTTTTGGTTGGTTGGGGTTTTTTTGGGTTTTGGTTTTTTTTTTTCTTTCAGTATGTATAATTTTTGTTTTGCCTATTCATTTTTCTTATGTCCCTCTAAGGTTTGCAGGTTTCTCTGGAGACACAACTGCCTCTTGTTATTTCATTATCTGAAACCTAGCAAACAGAGGTTATATACACTGCAACCCAGGAGAGCCCTTCTGTTGGTTTCTTTTTAAGATCTGAAAAATCACTCAAGACCAAAAGGATAATGGAAAAGCTAGAACAATCTGACCATCGCTGAGTGTGTTGCTCTGAGGAAGTATTACTGCTTGCATTATGGAGCTGTTATGGAAATTCACAGAAGCCAAAAACAAAGCTATTAATGATTTCAACAGAAGCATGAGGAAGTCTTTCTTTCCAAATGAGGGATGTTGCTTAAATCCAGGAAGATCAAATTTAAACTGGACCAAAGAGCAGACAAAGGAGGACTTGGAAACATGTGGCAGAACAAATGCATGGCTGTTCAGCTATTCAAATGAACTACTTTAAACCCCAAATTATTTTATCTAATCTGCCAGTGAGCCACTACAAGCAATTTCCAGAGTGTCCAGAACTCTTTGAGCTCAACAACACACAGGTATCTCACACTCAGCATGCGCAAAATGCTCCATCGCTTAAGGTGGGATAATTTTTCTGTTAATATCAACATGCTTGGGAATATGAATTATGAAGTAGGGCATACCCGATAAACCAGAAACAGAAACTAAATCCCTGCCTATTTCAGTAAAGGACCACATTATCAAGACCAGTATGTGTAGTCTGGTGGTAAGAGTCAACTATGAACGAGGTAAAAACACACAACATCACCACACTAAATGCACATTCAAACTGCAGTAGCCAAGATGGCAAAATTTAAGTGGCCTGCACTGCCAGAACCTTGGAAAAGCTTTTATTGTGTTCTGGTTTCCCGTGTTTTATTTTGCACTTCAATTTAAAAAAGAAAAAAAAACACCAAAAAAAGCCAACAACAAAAATCTTGAAAACAAAGCCAGATTAAAAACAATTAAAAAAAAATTTTGGTAAATCTGGGCAGTAAATAACTGTGAAAGAGACATGAGAGCTCTCCATAATATTATAGAAATGAATACAATTCCAATTCATCTTCATTTTACTTTTAAGCATATAAACAAAAGGGCACAATCATGCAGCCAAATCTCTGCCACTGCAAGATTTCCAAGAAAACATATTTTTCATACTGAACAAAAAGAATGGTTTGTATAAATCAGTTTATTTGAATAGACCATTTAAAATATCATACACAACTATACATTTTTGCTTTTCTTTATCACTTATATAAACACCTACCAAAATATTCTGAACAGCTAATCACATTTTTTTTTCTGAATTCACAGAATTAGTATTATGACTGAGATCACTTCTTCCTCATTCAGTTAATTTTTAATTTCCTAAAACTTTCAGGACATTTAATGCATCATGTTATTTTATAATTATAAAATGTATCTTTAATAATTAATGCATCAGTTATTTATAGAACATCTCTCAGGTCTGAGATTCTAATTTTTTTGTGTATAAACAATAACTGGATTCACAGGAATTCCATGGCTAAATGCTATTTTCTCTGATTAAGTTGTCAAAATGGCCTTTTCTGGATTTAAAATAATACAATAAAAACGTGTTTTATTTTCTGAACACCTGTCTTATTCGATGCACAGTGTACCTGTTCAATCAGTAGCCCAGACCTTTTTCACTGTAGCGTACTTAAACCTATTCTGACCATAGGACTCTGAATATTCTCATGCTGTCACCTACAGCATTCATCAGAGAAGAGGCTAAGGGATTCACAGCCATTAGCAATATATTCCACTAATTTCCCTTGAAGGAAAAAAAAAAAAAAAAAAAAAAAAAAAAAAAGAGCTAACATACACAGAGATCTGACTCAGAGGCATCCATCAACTTTCAGAATCCAACCTGAAACATTCAGAATCAACTTTCAAGAATACAGAGAATTCCTCATTTTATATATTGAAACAATTCCATATATTGAAACAACAGTTTCCACTGACCCAGGTAGAATCCATGAGACCTCAATACTTCTGTAAGCAAACCCCTCAACACGTAGGAGAAAAAAAATAAATTAAAATGAAAGAACAGACAGTTGGCAAGCAACTGAATACTTCGGTTAGGACACATTATCAGGAAAACAATGGGCCATGTCACAGAGTACACGATAAAATCCTGCTATACAGGGAAACGTTCAACTCGTCTACCAATCTTTTGCATCCTTTCCCACTCCATAAGCTCTTACTTCTTTCACAAGGCATCTTTCAAACAGTGAAACATCGCAAATTGTAACCTAGCCAGAAAGAATACAGTTTCACATAAAAGCAGGTCTACCTTAGGCACTAAGATAGAATTCATCTGGAAAAAATGTGATCACGCATTTAAAACCTGTCTCATAATACTTATGCAGAACAGGGCCAAATCAAGTTTTCATGGGTATCACCTTTACTTCTGCAACTTCTTTACTTTTCCAACATGTGAATTTACAACTGACAGTTGAATGATGTGACTCACTAGACACTGCTTTTTTTTTTTTTTTTTTCGCTGCATTCACACGTGGAGGTTGCTCCAAAAGCAACGTTTCGGTGGATTTCTTTGCCTTCTGTTCTTCAACTTAACATTGAGGTAGAAGAGGCTTTCAAAATAGAACTCACTGCCTTATACACAATTAAGAAAGGGAAAATTTTAGCTGCACGCTTGGAGTAGATAGAAGTAATTCAACTTAATCTTACTTTACATGTCAGATCTGTAAAATACTGTTCCTTTATTTTTATTACATACTGAAGCCAGAAGCTGTCCTCAATCTTAAAGTGACTCTCCAGTTCTGGAGGAATTTCAAGTGGGAGATTAGCAGTCTATTCAAATACAGAATATAAAACATGTATGTTTTGTTCATTACATTTCATAGACTCTTAAATGCTGACCTAATGTAAAATTATTGATAACATAAAAATTTGGAAAAAAATAGGTCTATTCACTTATGATTTTGTGCTTAACAAGCAGTTTAAAATGGAATATATTCTTAATTTTTGTAAAAAAGCAGAAACAAGATCAATTTAAGTAGGAAGTAAAAGAACAATATCCCACAAGAGATGCAACTCAGAAGAAAACCCAGGAGGATTGAATTTACATTTGCTCTAATTTCACAAACATCTGGAGTTCAACCAGGAATTAATGCAACCCTGTAAAGACATTATACTCCTTTTCCATTGGATTCAGCAAATTTCCAGGAATCCTTATCAGAGATGAATTAGCTGTTGCAGGAAAACTGCAGGCTTGACACGTAAGGCATGCTACGTAAGTAACAGTTAAACTGAATTTTAAATGTAGTTTTTAAAAAATAGCAATTAAGCAACAAAACTTGTTAATGTCCTTTTACAATGCAATAATTCACTTGCATATGCAAAACCAGAATCTTCACAAGATAAGTTATCTCTATTGAAAGTGCTAAGTTACACTGGGAGATAAAAACTTGGAAATTTTCTACATTAAGATTTTATCTCAATTTATTCTTTCACAAAGTGGTTAGCACTGGTTTGTATTTCAATTTCACTGAAAAACCAAACCAAACCAAACCATGATTTTTGGCAAATATATCTCAAGAACAGATCTTATCCCTTAGTCCTAGTAACAGTTAACTAGGTAAAAAAATCCCTACGAGAAAGATAAAAGCACTAACTGTGATTTGTGAACTAATTATGGCAAAAATAACTCATCCCATAAGAAACAGCAAACGAAATCAGCTTCTGTTGATGGACTCCTGCTGCCTGGACTGTCTATAGCCTGTGTTGCAGCTGCACCCTCAGTGAGGGTGTCCACTAATTCAGCATTTTTCTACCACAGAGCTGCCTCTTTCCACAAAAATCACCAAGGAGCTCCAAAGTTACTGATTACCTGCCAGACAGTCTCCCTACAACACTGGTCATGGAAGTCTCATTTTCTTAAGGAACACAACTTTAAGGGAGGGAAAAAAAAAAAAAAAAAGTTTCTAGGTCAGTTTTTTCATCCAGTTTTGTTTACATTTAGCACTCTATAAATATCTAAGCAAATTGGGATTTACTCTGTTCACTTAAATAGAAATTGCATCTTATCCTCCTTCTGCAATATCATGTTACCTTCTGCTCTGTAACAACCATAAAACATTTTGTTTTAATAGCAGTTCATCCAGCAAAGCTCAATCCCGCTCTGCACTGTGCTACGCTAGCAGAACAGTAGCATTCAAAGCAACGACAGGAACTAGCAATAAAGGCCCCAGATGTCCAGAAGGAATGCAAGGGCTGAACACAAACTCCACTCGCTAAACAATATAAAATTATCTAACGACTGATCACTGGACCAGCTTGGAGAACTAAAGGATGCGTCATCTTGGGAAACGGGGGGGAGGTTAGCGGATTGCAGGCTTTGAGCAGACAATACCCATCCCAGCTACAACACGATTAAGATGATAAACCCTCAGGGATGTGCTGAGAACTGGACAATTTGTAGGGCCTACACGTTTGTAAAAAGGAAGGAAAAAAACCAAACAAACACCCCCCCCAAAAAAAACCCACCCCACTGCAATAAAGTTGGCAAAGATAGTCAAAACAGTTTATGCTGCATGCAAGCAAGAAACAGCTGCATTAAAAGAAAGTGAAAGTTAATCAAGCTGATCTCCAAAAGCTGGACAATGATAGAATTGACTCTCAAGTGCACATGAATTCTAAGAGATATAACTACATGATCATTTACACATTTCACTGAATTTTTTTCATATTCAGTAATTAATTTTTAATTTTTTTTTACTGTTACGGAGGAGACTGCATTTTTCCTGACCTTCCACTCACTATGTCTTGTAGCCGAAATCTTTAAGAATTACTTCAACATTAGCTAAAATCCTAGGCTGACAACTTCAGGTTAGACAAAAAAAACAAAAAATGGGTAAAAGTTATAAGCAAATGAACACAAAGCTCTTACCAAAGCAAATGCAGATCAACTGGTTTAGATAGCTGGTCACACACAACTAAAGCCTTGAGCAGCAAGAAAAATCATCTGCTAAACTGCAAGAACCCCTCACTTTAAACCTCTGCCACTGACTTATGTCACTTAAAGTAATCCAACTTCTAGTAGTTAATTGCAAAGCATCCTGGAAAGGGTTCTGGGGCCTACCTGTACATGGTGCTATTCATGAATCTTTATTCCTAAACTGTAGCGCTCTGTTGCAGTTTCACTTAATGCACTTAGAGGAGAAGGGCAAGCATTCATAACCTACTAGACATTACACTTCAGAATGGGTACCTTACCTAAATTTGCACTGAGTTCACATATAAAGTACTTCTGACTGAACGTACAGCTCTTGCGACATGTAATTTTTGAACACTTCCAAAAAAAAAAAAAAAAATCAACTTTCAGCCTCTCTAAACACATCTATGACTTTTTTCCTTACATATCTGAGTGATACTAAAAAACAGAACAATGAGAAAGAAAATTTGCAGAGCAGAGTTTTAAGAGTCATCTTTTTCCTGAAGGTAGGTAGTAGCAGCCCTTGTGTATTTATTCAATCAGCTGTCAAACCATTATTCAAGCAGAATATGAAATGCTACCATACCATTTTAACCACACTGGAAAACTGACTGAATAAATCAACAGAAGATCTGACGCGCTACAGTTGCTTGTTTGCTCACTATTTACACCTACAATTTAGAACTTTACAGAACAGGACATCAGAAATACAAATGTGATAACCCAAGGAATTAAGAGCCCCAGCTGACCTACCGAAATCCCTCCATCCCATGTTTAGCATTGAAAGGAAAAGAATACAAATCCCCTAGAAATCTGCTCAGTTAATATTGCGTTTTCTGAAGAACATCTTTATTTAGGTAAACTCTGACCCCCCCCCTCCCAGCATAATACTATAATGTGCAAATATTGATGCAAATTAATCTTCCTTCCACCTTTCACAAAAGCTTCCGTTTCCACCTTACGAGCTCTAAAAACAATACTTCATTAGATCCAGCTGCCTAGAATTCATAGGGAAGTTCAGCACCAAGCATTGCAAAAGTTACGACGCTCGTTGGTCAAACTTCTCTCCTATCTTCCTTCCCCACGTAAATCTAGGAAGCTCTAGGGAGCCAGCCTTCAGACACTGCCCAAAAGATGTCCTGATTTTGTTCCATAAGTTCAGTGCATTTATTCCGTAGGAAGTACTGAAATATCTTAAAGAAATCTTGGCCTCCACTCTGTGAACTGAACTCTCAGCCCTCCCTAATGTTTAAGTGCAACTATTGCCAAAAGTGAGAGAAATCACCAAAATTTCATGCAAGGATTGAATTTCCTTTACCTTCTTCAAATACATATTATTTCTCTCCATCTGTGCCGAAAGCCATGCTGGATGCATCAGCTCCAGATTGCTAATGCCCAGTAACAAACCTTCTGTTCCCAATCAAGCTCCCTGTGAAGCTCGCCAAAAGCCTACAATAAAGTTCCCCTCACCAAAGAAAACATACTAGACCCACAAATTCCAGGTTCTGGCCAAAATATGGGCAGAAGTTAGCTGGAAATTATCCATCAGTCCTATTAAAACTATCAGTAGGTCCCTGTGAAAGCTATCAACAGGGTCATGGGCAGATGGCCATTATTATCCTGATGGAAACTCTACAACAATTGACCCCGATCTGTTCTGCCCGAAAAAGCCAGCAGAGGTTTAGAGCAGCGTATTGCTTTGAGTTCCGTGTTGAGAAGCTCCCACCACTACCAATTCTGTAGAAATACAGCTTTACCACCAAGATCTTCAATCGCTGACAAAAGAATATAAACAAAGTTTAGTATGTTGATGCGATCTGACTCTTTGCAGCACATGATTATTAGTTCCAGCAGGCTACTTTGACTGAAACCTTCAACAGCATTATCAACCCAGTAAAACACAAAGGTATAAAAAAAAATTAAGATCAGCGTAAAGGCTGACTTCTGCAAGAAACTCATACAGCTCTTCCAAGTCACCTCTACACCCAGCTCATGGATTAACCTATGAAAGTATCAGAAATCATTCCAAACTAACACCAACCCCATCCATCAGCAAGTTCTTGTTAGTGGACTGACAGTTATGCAATCCCAGGCTACATCAAGGATTTGTTTCTCAGCGGAGCTTTTATTCCAACACATTTTTTAATCACAACGTCAATGTAAACCAGTAAATTTCATAAAGGATCAACCCTTTTTTAGAATTGGTAGGTTCAGGAAGAAATACTCTCAGCTGAACTAGTGTTTCCACACAGTCGGTTCTTTTTAACAGAAATAAAAGGGTGGGGGTGCTATGAAAATTTATTTTTACCATTATTTTTCATATTTTGTTCAAATAAAGAATTAGATCAAGAAGAAGAAAAGACTCCAGATGTTTTTCCTTAAAGAAATGGGATGAGGGGAAAAACCAAAGGGGAAAACTTGCACAGAAAATTGCCGATGGCATGGAACATAATCCTCATTACAGTACTGAGGGGACAAACTCTGACCTGAACAGTATGGTCTCTTTCATAATAAATGTAAAATAATAATAATGAAACCAGTTACCTAAGATTTCTTCACTGAACTGGGGATATGAGTATATCTGACTTCATGCAGGAGGAAAAATCTGACTGTGTGCAAGTCAGGCAAAGTCAATTCCTAGTCTCTTTGGGGAGGAGGATAAAAACCTTCATCAAATCTTCTTGTTCCCACCTTCCTTCCCCAAAACAAAATCCATAAACTGGGACACAGCGGCTACTATACTGGATCATATAGCCTAATATCAGTACACTAGGACACTGGAGAAATAGAAGCATACTGCAAATCCTTATGTATATATACATCTGCCAGCAGAGTGGCCGTATGTACTAGTCCTACACCTCTGACAACAGCCAGAACTCGATGCTGCAGAGGGATATTCAAGATTCCCTAGAAGCCAGACACAAGACATGCTCTTGTAACGTGTCCAAGAAATGGACTACACTGATATTAAACATCCTGGTTAAGCAATTTCAGTAACTTGGTCATCAGTTTTCATAACTAGAAGTGATCTGGTATCTATGTAGCCATGCAGTATAGACGTATTTACAGTTACTGGTTCACAAAACTAAAAAAAAAATAATGATAGAAATTGACCTTGCACTAAAAAATTATGTATCTGCTGTCAGAGGTACATTTGATATTGTTATTGGAGAAAATTACAGTAACACAAATGTATTAAATTTGAAGCAATTATTAGTTTTCCACCAGTGCAAGCGATGTATAGGTATTTGAAGGTGCTTTATTAGAGACTGTTTAACCGCAAATAATTTCTCGTGTATTTGAGTGACATAAGCACAAAGCGGTACGAAATTTAAAATATTTTAAATTGACTTACCATCAGAACTTGTTAGAACAAAGCTCTCAGCATGGGACTGCTTCTTCCCACCTACACTTCTGGGAAACCAGTGAAGATCTATGGGATAAATGTCATCTGGAAGTTTCACTACTCGAGTAGTCTCACTAGTTAAAAGATTCCATTTCATAATTTGGTGATCATCACTGCAGGAATATAGCTCATCAGCTGTGGTCCATCCCACACAGCTAACTAATTCTTTATGTTTAATTAAATTAAGGAAGTTGAGAATTTTAATTATTAAAAATAAGCGTACAAAATAACCCATCTAGGCTACACAAAACTGAAGGTACAGGAAGATTATTTTGATAGGATTACATGGAAAGTTTTATATTAAAAAAAAATCATTCATTTTTTCCTCTTGTGTCAAGAGAAGAGCTGGTAGAAACTCGGCAAAAAATAAAGCAAACTATCATATTAAAAAAAATAATTCTTATTATGATGCATACTTATTGAAACAGCAGAAATGTTAGGGTGGGTCTTAGTGGACAATCCAAATGCATTGGTCTACTGGTCACCATATATAAATTGTCGACATACCTGATTTATCAGTAGGAAAATGTCAATTTTGTTTACATCTGCTACATGCATGTCTTACTACAAGCAAGTAGATGTATCACTAGTCCTATTTACTCTCTGGGAAAGCTTTTGACTTAGAACTACAAATAAGAAAGGAAAAAAACTCAAAACTTTGATAGCTTCTGAAGGGAAGGTATTACTCTAAGATTGTTCAACATCTCTTAAAACATTGCCCTTAAAGGCTGCACTGAATGGCAACGTGAAGAAAAAAAAAAAAGCCAATTTATAAATATTTTCCTATGACAATTACGATAACGAAATGCTTTCTGGATAAGAGGCTATTCGGAATTAACAAGCTTTTGTATGGTTTATTCTGAGACGAAGGATATGTTTTGGTTCCTTTAAAAGTGAAGTCTTCAGCCTCATTTCAGTTATTCAGATGGAGCATTAACAAAAGATATGCAGGTATAACTGTAACAAAACAAAACAAATACACACGTAAGTAGCCAAAATTAAAAAGGAAGACACTAACACCAAAATAAAAAGTTCCAAAATAAGTAATATTACATTAGTACTGTGGCAAAATAAGCCCCAAAACAGACCTGAGTTTTAAGGGAATTCTGTTTGTACAGTACCCAACTCCACATTTACCTGATCACTTAATATAAACACGCTGGACAATATAAAGAACAAGTGATGCTAGGAACATATTGCTGAAACACTGACGTTCTCTCGTGCTGATATATAGCCGTGAAGGAAGCCAAGGGTAAACCTGGAATCAAAAGCTTTTCAAGGAACTTCACGTTTAGTGAGAGCACTGTGAGAAAATTCAGAGGAAAAAGTCACACTATGAAAATAATCCTGCTGTGACAAAATGACACAACACCCTCGACTTTCATCCACCCCTGTGTGTAACGTCGATGATATTTTACGGCAACACAGTAATTCCATGAGTAGTTCGGTGGGGTCCCACCCTCTCACAACACCGAAAGCTTTTGTCTGTGAGTGCCTGGACAGCGTAGAGGCACTGATCCAGGTTAAAACTCTTCTTTCATGATGGGAAGAAGTGAGAGCAGGAGGGTGAGAGCTGAAGGTATTCTCTGAGGAGACCATGATGATGTACAATGTGGTCGCCTTCTGGAATTTTTTCACCATAAAAATTACTGCACGTCAAACAGTTTCTATGCAGAATTTAAGAAGTGTTAAAAGGATAATAGTCCTAAAAATGTAATTTTCTGTGCCCAAAGAATTGTTATTTTCAACTCTACTTTCCGTCAATTGATAAACGCATGTGATAATTATTTTTATTTTTAAAAAACTATATCCCTCACACTCAAACGTCTGATTTCCTTCTCCTGCCCTTAACCAAAAACCGCACAGGGAATCTCACCATCAAGGAATATAAAAGGGGTCTAAGCTTGTACTAAACTTTCAAAGCAGCCTTTTAATCACATCCTTGACTTCTGTATGGTGGCAATGCCTTTGTTCAGCACCTGCATATACCCGTCTAGCACATGCTGTCACATTTTCTGCTGATCAGCTGCAGGGCTAGTCTCTGCACCACAAATCCTGAAGACTACAACCCCAAACGTGAACCTTACAACTTGTACACAGCGAAGAACGTAACACGGAATAAAACAGCATTAGGGATTTCTTCTCCAGTTTAATGTAAGCGTCTATCCCGCTTAACAGAATACCTCGTATTTATTTGGATGCATCTATCTGCTGTGGACACCACAGCCTGCTTAAACCCACCTTTTCAGTTGCTGTTTCGTGTTTTCAGATTGATTATTTCTCACTTTGAGTTTCAGCAGGCACGTCCCTACCGTCAGCTTCCAGCTTGCACTCCCTCCCTGCTCCCACTACACGGGCTTCTGTTATTTTCCTTTCAAAGACAAGATCAGAAGTTTATTATAAACTTCGAAAACGGCTTAAACGCTCTTTTACGTGTGCCTAAAAGGCAGAAGGCTCACCCTTAGGTTGCAGAGCTCACCTGCTGCCATCAGCAGCAATATTATATTAGTACTGTGGCAAAATAAGCCCCAAACCAGACCTGAGTTTTAAGGGAATTGTTTGTACAGTACCCAACTCCACATTTACCCGATCGCTTAGTATAAACACACTGGACAACCTAAAGAACAAGGGATGCTAGGAACATATTGCTGAAACACTGTAAACTGAAACACTCAACCTGCCACCCACCGCAGGTTCATCCGTCGTTAACCCATCCCAGCGCACACACACGCTACCCACAGCCCCGCGGGTTGGCGGAAGGCATTTACTCGGGAGTTTTTTTAACAAAGATGGGGCATTAATGAGGAGTTATTCTGGCACGTTTGTCTCGGCTTCTCCCAGCCTGGCACTTGGTGCCTCAGCCCGCGCCTTCCCGCCCTCTCCGTCCCCTCAGCCTCTTCCCTCCGGAGCCGCCGCTGAGGAGCGGAGACGGCGGCGGGAGATTGAGCAAGAGCTTGGCTTGGCGGGGCGGGGGGGGGAAGAAGGGAAAAGCCAGACGGCAGGATGGAAAGGAAGGGCTTAGATGGCGGTGACGGGTCGGGAGCTCGCTCCTCGGCAGCACTTTCGCTGCCCGCTGTGAGGGAACCGCAGCTCTTCCCGCCCCGTCTGCGTCCCCTCCCCAAACCCTCAGGCCCCGCACAGACGGCAAAGCCCGCTCTCCGGCCGCCCCAGCACCCCCTTTCCCCTCAGTTTCCACCTTCCCAAGCGGCAGATTATCCGCCCACCCCGCGAAAAAGCATCCTCCCTCCGCCGCCCTTCCTCCAGGAGAGCGCCAGTGCCCGTTTCCCTCCGGGCCGCCCGGAGCCGGGGCTCCCCCGCCCTTACCTCGCTGTCTCCCGGGGCTCCCCCTCCGCTCCTCCCACACCGAGCCGGGGGGGGGTCACGGCTCCCGACCCCTCTCGCCCACCGCGGCGGTGAGTCAGAGCCGCCGCCTTCCCCCGACGGCCAGGGGAGGGGGACGGCCCCCGCCTACCCCCGTCCGCCTTTACCTGCGCCGGCAGCGGGAGGAAGAGCGGAGAGCGGCGGGAACCGCGGCCCCGGCGGCTTCCGCGCTAATCCCGTTTTCCTCCCC